GGCAGGAGGCCGAAGACTGGCCTTCTGGCAGAGAGATGCACCGAGACCCTTCAGCTCTTCCCAGGAGGAGCTAAGGCCACAGCCACAACGGTCCTGCCCAGCCACAGCTGCTCTGCGGCTCTTAGGTGTCCTCCCTTTGAGGCACCAAAACCTTTTCTGCAGGCAGGTGAACAGGGATGTGCACTGCGCCCCAGCTCCAAGAGCTGCGCTGCAGGGCACCTCGCAGCCCCGTCTCTCTGAGGACCGCACTATCAGTCCCCACGCTACCATCAACTTTCTGCCTGCTTTGGGGGAAGTTGCTGAACCTGCCGACATCTTGCTTAGCTGTCCATAAAACAGCACCGACAGTGACTGCCCCAGCGTTACCCTTCACCCTAGTAGAAGGAATACGCATTTTGCGAAATGCACTGAGATCCTTTGACGGAGCTTGCTACAGATTTCCAAGCTGTTTCTGCTTGCAAAGGGATCCACACTTAGGCAGAGACATTTGAGAAGCTGGGGAATCCCTATTACCATTTCGCCTTGCCACAGACAGAAATCTCTGCAGACTACAAGGAGATCATGCGTGAAAACTGAACTTTGGTCCAAACTTCAAGCTCATAAGGAAAAACTACACAAACTAACTCAGTCTAGCAAATGATGCAAAAGGCTGGAGGACTGTAGAAACTGGGGATCCAGTGATGGGACGTGCCAGTGCAGGGAGGCACACCTGCTCTCTGCCATCTTTCAGACTCCCCCAAGTAAGCACAGCTGTGCAGGAGCCGGTGGTGCTGCCAGCGGTGTGCCAGCTCAGCTGTGCAATCCAGAGGAGACAGGGAGCTCTGGGAGCAGTTAAGTCTCATCTTTGAACTCTGCATCAGTCACAGTTTTGGGGAGGAGGGAACATACTGTACAGTAGCGCTCCTTAATTACAGTCATATCCCTTTTTCCAAATAGCTAGCCCCAAAAGGCATGGATTTTTTATATAAGCTGAAGGCGACTTTGCGAAAAAGGAAGTATCCCCTTTACATGCTGCACTCCCCTGCCCAGGCCTCTGGGTAAATCTTCCTGTGAACCTTCCCAATTTGTGCTGTAGAGCTGAACTGGAACCAGAGTCCCTTACCGGTATCACATAGCCCTCCCTCCTTCTGTTGTTTGCCACCAACTCCATTATCACTTCCCAAATTCACCAGGTAGTGATCGCTGCACACTTCAGGATCCACCACAAAAGGGAGAATAAAAGGGAGCTCAACAAGGAGGATGCCTGGAATAAGACAGACTTTTTCCATCAGGGATTGCTTTCTGCATCCAGGATAACACACCAGCAGACAGACCTCCTCTGCTGCCGGCGAAGTCATTTAAGTAAAATGTGTCTGGATGGAAGTCACTCTCCCTCTTATCTATTATCATGCTCGCAAGAAAGTGCTTCTCAATCACAATCATATGCCATGTTTTGCCAAGACAGACAAATATCTGACACATTTTCTAGTCGCCGGACTTACCAGACCAAATCTGTTACTCACGGGAAGCTCTTGCTGCTTTCAGCAGAAGTTTTGCCTGATTAGAAGTCGTGGGCTTTGCCTGCTTTTTGACCCAAATTAACTGGCTCCATCAGGCCTCCAAAATCTGTGGGGACCGTCAGCCACAACGAGACGCATCTCCAGCAACACTACTAGCAATCAGCTGATGGCTCCCCACAGGGTCCTGGGTCCAAAGCAAACAGCGCAAAGCTACAGTCAACTGGCAAGTGGAAAGAGCTGCCAGGGATCATCCCTGCTGGTCCTCTAACCGTCATGGTGGAACGCAACACAGTCTGGGGCTGCAGAGCAACTTCTGAGCCTGCCCCAGTCTCTGCTGGGAAACTTTCCTTTGGAAAGATGTGGGGATAGGGCACAAAGCAGAATCAGAGCCCAGGCAGGAAGATCTCTCTTTTAGTCTTTCC